TGATGATGGTGGACCTGCTTGCTGATGCTGGAGGAAATACAGAATGTGTCGTAGAGGAACGTAGTTACAAATACCAACTTAGGCCACGTGACCAGTTGCAGAAACATGGATTGTAATTGACATGAGTATTTTTGTCCTATTTGGTTAAGAATAGGCTTGTGCATGTATACACATGTTAAGCAGGTACTTGAGTTCTTCTTTTTTGAATATGTAATTGAGATGTTTTAAGTAGTGAAGTGTTGTGAACCTATATCATTATATTGGGTTATGAGACACTAAAGGACTAAGCATTCCTCGAAGACCTTATCACCTACTCTAAGATATATAATGCATTGGTCATTGTATTATGGGATAGTTATATTATGTTAGGTGAAATTATGACCTCAACATTGTTTTCATTTGAAAATTAAGCATGACATAGAGAGATGCTATTGTGTGTCAAGTTGACAAGGGGTGGACTTGTGATGGCTAATCCTGGGTGTCAACTTGATTGGATCTGAGATTAACTGAAATGAAAGAGATCTTCTTGATTGGATCATCTAAAGCTAGAAGACACACCCTACATGTGGGCATTACCTTCTGATGGCAGCCGGTATAAAAGACCAAGGCAGAGGAGAACGCCTTTTTGGGGCTTTTTGAGGCTTGCCTTCTCTCTCGCTGGTGAATTCATCTTGCTGCTGTAGACTGAAGACTAGCTGATATTTTGGAATTTGTCAGACCTTCAGCACCGGATTGGGACTACTGAGACATCAAGCCTTGTGGACTGAGTGACTACAGATTCTCAGCCTCTCCAGTGTGGTGAAGCCATTGTTAGACTACTTGGATTCTATCCTATGAGCTAAGCTGATAAATCTCTATACATATTCATTCTACTGGTTCTGTTTCTTTGGAGAACCCTGACTAATACAGCATATTTGTATTGATATGATTACAAAATAGCCTTTAAAAAATTGATTTATCAATGTCTGGTGGCTTGTCTGATGTTGATGCTCTGCAACATTCTTTATGTTCATCAAGAGCACACCCATTCCTACTACAGCCTAGGTCCAGGTGTCAGAGGGTATTTATCTCTTCCACACCCCAGACATGCTGTATATATGTTGGAATTAAATTTCCTCTGTTTGCTGGACTTCCTCTTATACTCAATTTTTGTACATTCAAAAATCCACCTTTCTGGCCAAGTTATAGAGAATAAGAGACTGCAGAGTGAGTGTCCCTGGATAGGACTCCTATATTAAACCTCATGCACCCAGGATTCAGGGCGCAATGTGGAAGAGGAGCGGGAAAGAGGGTAAGAGCCAGAGCTGATGCTTGAACATAAGGAAACAGAAGCTTTCAGGCCTCTCAGAATTTGCTCATATGAACTTGTAACAATGTTCACAGCATGCACAAGACCCATGCTGACTCAATCAGACAAGACCCATGCTTACTCAGTCAGACAAAATCCCAGAATAGAAGTGGGGAAATGAGCACAGACCCCAACAATAGCCAAGGAACTATTGACAGACTAAAGGAGTGTTGATCTTTGCAGGAGTGGCTGATAGGCCACTAGAGTCCAGTGGTTGAACTTGCACCTAGGGACATTGGGGTGCAAATGCTTGTCCTGATGGGCCTTGGCATATGTGACAGAATGAATGAAGTCAGGTGGGGGAAGTTATGGGAAGGGTGTGGATGGAAGAAGGATGTAAATTTTATTAAAATCTATTGTATGAAATGCACAAAAAATCAATAAAAATATTCAAAAAAAATTCACCTCTTGCTCTCTGTTTTCTCTGTCCTAGGAACAGCTCTCCTGCCTTGACCCCTGACCCCTGAAAATGTATGCCTGCTCCAAGTTCCTCTCTACCCGCTCCTTGGTGCGGAGCACCTCCCAGCTACTGAGTCGACATCTATCTGCAGTGGTGGTGAACTGATCAGAGACATTTGCAAATGCGAGCCTCAGCAGCTTGGCAGTCCCACGTCCCCTGACCTCACTCCTCCCTACCCGCAGATTCCAAACCAGCACCATATTGAGGGACATCGACACAGAAGCCAAGTTCATTGGGGCTGGGGCTGCCACCGTTGGGGTGGCTGGCTCTGGGGCTGGGACTGGGACTGTGTTTGGGAGCCTCATCATTGGTTATGCCAGGAACCCATCTCTGAAGCAACAGCTCTTCTCCTACGCAATTCTGGGCTTTGCCCTCTCGGAGGCCATGGGGTTCTTTTGCCTGATGGTGGCCTTTCTGATCCTCTTCGCCATGTGAAACAGCATCTGCCTCCACCTCCCATATTCTTTGTTCCATGTCTCGTCTGCCCTGTATGTTCCTTTTCCTGTACCTCCCCAGGAAGTCTGGGGAAAGTGGTTGGCTCAGGGTTTGACAGAGAGAAGACAAATAAATACTGTATTAATAAGAAGAAAAAAAAATTCACCTCTTAGATTTCAACTTGGTTTTCTCCTTGACAGCCTTTGTGCAGCATGCTGTTTGCTTTGTGTTTTCTCTGATAAGTTCGCAACACACAGCTCTCAACTAGCGAAGTACTGCAATCACAGAAACTTGTAATAGACTCACACAAAAAGAAAATATTTTTATTTTCTTGTTCATAAAGGAACACACAAGATGAAAGTGCTCAACTTTAATCAATAGAATCGTTTCTGGAAACAGGCTCCAGTAATACTAGATCGGAACTCAGGTGTGAACGAGTCATTGAGGGTTAGAAATCCCTTGGTTCTTTCGCTCTCACAGCACGAAGCTAGACTACATTTCCCACAATCCTTCTGGGCTGAGCTGGGACTTGGTGCATCCTGGACTACAAAATCCATAATCCTTAGAGCCCGCCAGTCTGTAATCCGGAAGGAAGACGCTGTGGTTAGTTCCCATCTTCCCTTTCGGGTTTTGCGTATAGGGTAGCAAGGTCGAGAGGAAAAGGAGAGTGGCGGTAAGGCCATTTCTACTACGGTAGGTGTCTGCACCCCTCGCAGAGCTTCCAGCAGCGCCATGTTGGGCCAGAGCGTCAGGAGGTTCGCCACCTCCGTGGTCCGCCGCAGCCACTATGAGGAGGGCCCCGGGAAGGTGAGTGGGGTCAGCGGGGATGCTGGGCGGCCCCCCGCTCCATCCAAGGCTGGCCCAATGGCTGTGGAGACAGGAATGGGAAGCCGGGAAGTCAGCAGAGACGGAGGCCCGCAGCCCTTCCCAGGAGAGGGGCCACCCCGCCGCCTGTCAGCTATCCGGTGGCTGCGAGGCCTACATGTCCCGGCGTCGCGATGTGGGTCGAAGCTGAGTACGAGGGCGTGGGACTCGGAGTGAAGGTCACTGAAAACAAGAGGAAGTGAGGGCCTGCAGCGTGTTTGAGCCTTTTAAAATCAGGCCGCTGTATTGGAAGTACTAGTCCTCCTTGTTGAGGCCAGGTCTAGCGCCTGGTGTAAATAAACCGAGTTGTTAATGGTGACGACCCCATAGTGTTGACGCCGGGCTGACTGAAGAGAAGAGAAGGGATGTAGGTGATGGCTACCTAGGAAAGAGTCAAATTTTGTGCTGTGATTGATACTGCTATGTACTAGATAACGTGTTAGTTCTAAAAGTGACTCAGTTTTCCAAAATACAGAACCTTTTGGTTATTTACATTTCTAAGTGGGTTTACTGGCCACCAGGCCTTTGTTATGTTTCGTTGCGTGGACCTGATTGCATAAAATAGACAAATGTGCATGCGTGCTTATTCCTTATCTTCCTGTCGTCATAGATGAAATGATGCTATATGAAGTTCTAATTTTAATGCTTGTTCTCTTTCCCAACAGAATTTGCCGTTTTCAGTGGAAAACAAGTGGCGGTTACTGGCTATGATGACTTTGTTCTTTGGATCTGGATTTGCTGCACCTTTCTTTATAGTTAGGCACCAACTACTTAAGAAATAAGGATGTTTTACTTCATTTAACAGGTAATTAGCAGGTTTCTAATTTTCCTACAGCATGGATTTCTGTTCTGTCTGAATATACTCCCCCTAACACACACAAGTGGATAGTTGTATAGGTCTGATTCCTGAAAGTGTAAATGTGGTATTGGTGGAGACAGTTTGGCAAACCCATAAACATTGTTTTGATCAATAAAGGTCATTCTTTATTGAGCACCATGTTACCTTAATCTGAATTAACTTGTGATGTTGGTGGTTTTAAAACCCCATTGAAGACACAAAGATGATAAGTTGAGGTTCCATAGCTTATGATTCACATAGGCAGTCCCCTTCCAATTTTCATACTTTATAAACCATACTAGGTTTTAATTACTCAATCTTGAGTCTTATACTGGAATAACTTTGAGAATGTACATGTCTTTTAGTATTCTGTCTAGGCTTTTGACATTGCAATATGGCATTTTAGTCTACAAAGTTCACACTTGAGATCCAACAATAAAGTTGAAACAGAAAAATCATGATGTTCTAAGAATGCTTAGGATTTTGTGTTGGGCACATTCATAGCTATTCTGGGGTACTTAAGGCCAGTGGAACACAGGTTGAACACGAGTGCTGGAACCTTTTGCTTCCTTTTGGATAGTGATCACATTGCTACCAGTTTTTAGCAGCTGGGCTTGCAATGTTGATGTAATATATGAAAACCCCAGGAGAAAAAATGTTCTGGTGTTTCTTTAACTTGTATCAATCCCAGATAACCTGTGCTATGGTACTAGCAAATCTGCTCAGCTTGATGATTTTGTACATTAGTGATACATTTGACTATGGCTGGGGAGGTTTTTGATTGTTCCAATTCTGAAACAAAATACCAGTGGTACTCAGGTTAAGAAACTGCACTGAAAAGATATATTTGGGTACATGCCCTTCATGTTGCATACTGGTAGACAAAGATTTCCTTCTGATAATTTTAAAGGAGATTTAGTCAGGCCATTAAATTTGAAAGATTTTGGTACATGTGATGAAGCAAATCAGTATGAATAAACTCATGATACTGTAAACGCTTTCTGATGTATCAAAATTGATAGACTATATTAATGAAATTAGAGTGACATATAAAATGAGATTTTTATAATTCCATTAATTCTGGTTTTTTTTTTCAGATATGAAGAATGTTTAAGAGGTACAGTCTGAGATGTGGATTAAACTCTTGAACTCATACCGGATATAATTGTAAATAAACTAATGATGTGAACATTTCATGCCTCTTCTCTGAAATTAAGGGATGCAATTGAGCGTGTATTTTATTATTTAGTATTAGGTTTTTTGGATTGTTATGGTTAATTTAGAACTGTTTATTGGGGCTGGGATGATGATGATGCTCAGTAGATAAAGTACTTGGTACACAAGCCTGAGCACCTGAGTTTAGATACTCAGAACCCTAGTAAAAATTTGGGCAGGAGCCAGGCGTGGTGACGCAAGCTAATCCCAGCACTCGGCAAGCAGAGGCAGAGGCAGGTGGATCTCTGTGAGTTAAAAGCCAGCCTGGTCTACATAACATAGTGAGTTCCAGGCCAGCAGGGGCTACAGGGAGACACTGCCTCAAAAAGAAAAAAAAAAAAAAAAAAAATTGGGCAGGCATGATGCCCTGTCTTTAATCCCAGCGCTCAATAGGTAGGAAATCAATACTTGTGAAGCTGGCTAGTTAAACTAAATTCTGAATTGGCTGTGAGTTCCAGGTTTATCAAGAGACCCTACCTTAGAAAGTGGTTAAAGGAAGACAGCTGACGTCAGCTTTGTGCTTTCACATGCATGCTCACAAATGTGAACTCCTGTACCCATGGCACATGAACACACAGTAAACTATAATTTAGAATTTGGGTTTTTTTTTTTTTTTTTTTTTTTTTTTTTGAGACAGGATCTCCCTATAGCCCCAGCTGACCTGAAACTCACTAGTTTTTTTTTTGTTTGTTTGTTTGTTTGTTTTTTCAAATAGTCTTAAGTGATTTCATTTATCTTGATCTTGGGTCAGAATCTTATTGGCAACTTAAGTTTCAAAAAAATTTACAAATCTGACTGGTCATCCTAATAAGTTAAATATATAAGTAGTTATTCTATTTACTTTGGATAAATCTCATGATTAGTCATGTGAAAAAAACAATAACACTGAAGTTCTGATTAACTAGGTACTTACTTTGCTTTTGTGCCCCAGTCAGTAACCTAAAGCTGAAAATTTTGTCTCCGTGATTATACTGCTGATCAGTCAGTCTTTTACACAGAACAAAAATAGAATATTGAAGATTTATAACAGCATATAAGACAATAAAGGAACTATCCCATTTTTGTTCTTTTAGTTCCGACCATAATCCTAGAAGGGATAAGAGATAGTTCCCATTAGTAATTTTGTCACTGAATCACAAGAAGTGAAATGCTCACCGTTTGCAGGGTACTTTCCAAGGCTTTGTAGTAGACAGGGAAAAGTAAGTAGTTACTTAATATTTTAGTCCTGGTTTGTTGGCATACTAGATGATGAGAGAGTACAATAAAAAGATTGTAAACTAGTAGTCTATTCATTGTAGAGATGGTTTGCTGAAAGGATGCACTTTTTAAGACAACATTTTAAAACTAATGGGGATTGGAGAGATGGCTCAGTGGTTAAGAGCACTGACTATTGTAGAGAACCCTGGGTTCAGTTCCCAGTTACCCACATTGCGGTAACAGTTGTCTGTAACTCCAGTTCCAGGGGATCCAAGGCCGCCTTCTGACCTCTGCTGTCACTGCAAAGCATGGGGACATGGGTGCACTCACACATGCAGGCAATGCCCTCATACATACTAAAAGCCAATAGATTTTGTATAAGTACATTTTTTTACAGCCTTCAGAAATATCAAGTACACTCCAAGTTAGAAGAATCCATAGGCATCTGATGGCACATTTCATGGCTTGAATGCTTAAAGGTGTCAGCGGATGCAGTGTAACAGGTACTATATAGACAGCTGGTTCCAAAATCCACCAACTTAAGTATCTTTAAAAAACACCTCTGTGGAATGTTTTAACAAATAACTTGATCACCATACACCTATCTGCCAAGTTTAAAAAAAAAAAAAAAGAATTACTAACCATTTTTCATATAGCTGTGATTAGTATAGTTTTTACTAGAGAATTTTTTAAGTAACTACCACTAGCATTTACCTAAATACAAGTAAACGTATGCCTTCAGCAGGTTATTTCCCTGATTCCAGAATACAGACCCAATAGGGGTTTGGTAGAACCTAGGGTTTGTTTTCCAGACAAGCCCCTGTGTTGCTTCCATGGCTGTTCTGAAGGTGGGGTGGGGTGATGTCCTGCATTTTGCTTCAGGAATACACAATAGAAGTTAGGAATGGAGGCCTTGCACTGAGATTTGCAGGGATTCAAAATGAAGCTAAACTCAGCTTCAGTGAGGGGCTCTGTCCTTCACATTCCTTAAATTTTGAATATCAAAACCACTTTGATAAGAATGAGGAGACCTGGGGGCTCTTGTCAGTAAAAATGTTTGCCCTGCAAGTGGGAAGACCTGAGTTAAGATCCCCCGAACCTATACAAAAGTGGGCTTGGAAGTGTCTGCCTATAACCCCAGCCTGTGGGAGGAATAGGAGACAGAGACCACTGAATTCCTGAAGCACACTGGCTAGCCAGCCCAACTGGATCCATGACTTTCGGGTTTCAGAAATAAAGGTGGAGTATTATGGAAAAAAAAAAAACAAAAAAAAAAAACTTGACATAGAGCACAGGTCTCCACACATGTAGGCACCACACACAAAAAAAACGAAAATATGAAATTAAAACATTACTAGGATTTGGGTCTACAGTACTTAATTGAAACCCTTGTGAGAAGGAGAAATAAAATGGATGTGTACATTATTAAAGTTGATTCCAAAGCCTTTTGCAATGGAGATGAGTATTTCTCATCTGAGCTGCAGTTCTAACACTGCCAAGAGACACTTCAATGGTACTGTGTTTAAAGGTGATATTTGTATTAAATGAAAAGCTTTTCATATAATTAATCTTTTCAGAGTAAAAAGTCCAGTATCAACTGGCATTTAGTTACATCCTATAATCTCAGCTTCACACTGGCGTTCCATCTCAAGGTTTCTGTACTACTGTCATGCCTTAATTTAATCCAGGTAGCACGGTTTCTACAGTCTCTGTTGATGCTTTCCCTAACTCCAAACACTTCACAGTGTCTTCAACCCTGCCAATAGCTTTGTAATTAAGCATGTATTAAAACTACTAATTTTCTTACCTGTTTTCCATACCAGTTTAACATCTTTTGAGGTTGGAGAAGCTTTTATTTATTCATGTACTCGACATCTATAAGTGGCAAATGAACATTTTTTCAAAAAATTATTGGAGCCAAAAATATTACCTAAAAAGACAAACCCTGGGCCTGTGTGTTTTGCAATGTGCAGTGAAAATACCACCCCTCCACCCCTGCCCAAATGACTGAGGGTCTCCCAAATGTAAATGTATTGAATAACGCAGATGTGCCAAATAACCAGAATAACCCAGAGGATTTGTGCCAAAATATTATTCAACTTTGTCACATTTTATTCCATTTGACTTAATTTTTCAGACAAAGTGGTAGGGATCTATTTGTTTAAAGAAAAAGAAGTCTGGCATGGTAGTACACACCTTTAATCCCAGCACTTAGGAGGCAGTGGCAGGTGAATCTGTGTGAGTTCAAGGCCAGCCTGGTCTACATGGTGAGCTGCAGGTGAGCAGGGGCCACAGGGAGAATAGAGTTTGAGAGACAGGTGTAGCAGGGGTTTGCTGGCCAGCCAGCCTAACCAAAAAAAAAAAAAAAAAGTAGAAGAAAAAAACTTGGTGAGCTGGTGAGGGGGCTTTTCTCAAAGAAATGAGGCAGAAGACATCAGATGTCCTTCCCTGTCCTCTATATGTGTACTTGCACACATACACACACACACACACACACACACGTGCACAGATGCATATGCCACCCCACACAAATTTAAAGAAATTTTTAAAAAACAGTCCTCTGCAACGATCCCAACAGAGGGATGCTTCTGGAAGCCCTTGTAAAGAAACTCCAATGGACTCTCATATGAACATTTGAACATTGCCCTGTTCTCACTTTTTTCTAGTTCCCTGTCTAGAACTTGTAATACTAACTACTCTTGCCCTTACTTCTCCTTCACATCTCCTATTCATGACTCAAGGACTTTCTTTTCCCCTTAGAGACAAGAGATATGCATTTTGGGAGTCTTTTAGATAGACCCACTGAAGGGGTACTCCAATGGCCTCACCCTGCATCCCTGTTCAGCATGGAAGAAGCCAGAGCGGTCAGCGTCCCTATTCTCAATTGGAAATTTGGGTAACCCCTTCAGAGGATGGTGTGATAAAAATAGGAGGTAGGAATTGGCTAGGCAGCTATGGTAAAAAGACCCCAAAGAAATGTATCCAGTTTCTTGGCTAAAAGTCAAAATGTCCTTGGTCCTGTTAACAACATACTCTGTTCCAAAGGCCAAAAAATGTCAAAAGAATTTTGGGAGCTTGTATCTAACCCTTAAAAGATTTTAAGGGTTACCTCTTCAGAGGGGGCAATATTGGGGGGAGGGAGTGGGCATGGATTTGATCAAAACACTTTATATGCATGTATGAAGTTCTCAATAAAGTTTTTGTAAAAGTCTAAAATAAAAAATAGTGCTCTGCAAGAACAGTACATACGCTTAACTGCTGAGCCATCTCTCCAGCCCCTAGAAATCTGTAATAAATAAGTTTCTATGATTTAAGCTGTCCCTATATCAAATTTTTTCATATATTACCAAAATAAAATTTCTTATAACTATTATAATGTTAATACCAAAAGGTGAATAGCCACTTTCTGTATATCTACACTACTACATTGAAGGATTTTTAGCTAGTATAACTCAAGTTAATTATAGCTGATTTTAGATAGGCTACTTGAGCAGTCTGGGTCTTATCCTGACCTGATTTGCAAGTTCTTAGGACTTTTCATAAATATGGCAGATACTTATATACACATGGCAGAACTGAACTGTACTCTGTTGTGACAAATAAAAATGTACAGAAGTGGTATGAAGCTGTTGAAAGGCAGTGAACTATCCAACTTCCTTCCTAATTCAGGATTAAGTCCTCACCAACTTAGGTCCCTGAGAGATTGTGAATAATTCCCTTCCTTAAATGCATGGGAGTGGGGGTGACAGAAACTTTCATTGCTTTAAACCTGTAGTGTTTCC